CATGCGTTTAATTTTCGGTTTTGTTGTATTCCATTTGCTTTAATGGAATTTTTAACAGACATGTAATAAATTTTATACAGTGTGTAATGAATAAATAATGCGTTTCTACAATTGAGATGTATACCTTGTGGTGCATCTGAAATAGGATTCGGAACCGGGAAATCCCGGTACCGAAAGAACCGGAAATAACAGGGACTCGAAATTATTAATTCCCGGTTCTTTCGGTACTTTCGGGACTCGGTAATAACAATTAAAAACATATTTTTTGTTACGTGCGAAAGAGTTTTGATACAAACGATCGAAATCGAACTCTTGTAAATAAGTAGTGATGCTGTCTCTTACTGTACTTACTGCTGAAGTTATATAGTTTGAAGTTTCTATAATGTTTATTAGCAATTATTGAAGTTTAAATATGTTATTTTATTATTTAGTATAATATTGCTGAATATATTAGTTATATTTTTGTGTTATGTTTTTATAGGCATTGCATTGCATTTAATTGAAAATGTTAATTTTTTTTTCAAATTTAGTTAAGTTGTAATAAGTAAAATTCCAATTCAGAAAAAAAATTAACCACCCTTTACAAACCATATGAATTCTCGTAAACAAATAGAAAAAAAAATCTTGCAGTATAGGTATACAATAAAATTATATAAGAATTCTTGCCACTTAACTGCTGATATAGAAATTTAATTCTACGCTGTGTTTGTCATAATGTGGATCAACCTGCTCTCACTACCGGTTTCGGAGTCCTACTCCATCATCAGGTGACCTTGGGCAGATCCACAAAATGCATGACAACTACAGCGCAGAGTACTTAATTCCGACTTGTCGGAAAGTATCGATTAGGGTTCACTAAAACTAGTTTTAGTTTAGTTTCTTCAATTTCGTCATGAAACAGTGGCGTATCATTAATTCGCTCATTAATTTATGAATAATCAATTGTCTTACTGGACAGCATTCATTGCTAACTTACCATCAGGTTCAGCATTGGTTTGGTTGTATCAAAGATGCCGAAGAATGGGGTTAGAAAAAAACAAAAACAGGCATTGCTCCAGTCACAACGTTGAAAGATCCAGCTCCAAAATCCCTGTTGGCATTTTTATTTTGTAAATGCAAAACCAACAATTATGGTAAAGCCTGCGGATGCAGAAAAGCAGGATTAAAATGTTCAATTATTTGTGCATACTGCAATGGGAAATCCTGTGACAACGTCACTGAAGTGTCACTCGACGAATCCGATGAAGAGGAGTTGGATTTGCCTGTAAATATCCCTTTGACGGCTGAAGATGAAGAGTTGGACGTATTGAGAGACTACCCTGATGAGCCCAGCACGGCAGACACGATCGACTTTGACATCAATGAGCCAGATCCGTCGGGCTTGTGCAGATAAGTTAAAGTTTTTAATTTATCTAGTGGAGTAGGCCTCCGGGGAGACCACGTTAAAATAAACGCGCCATATACTTTACCTCTTGGGTGGTGTGAAAACAAGTACACATTTTCAATAATTAAAATTAATTATTCATAAATTAATGAGCGAATTAATGATACGCCACTGTTTTATGACAAAATTGAAGAAACCAAACTAAAACTAGTTTTAGTGAATCCTAATCGGCATTTGATTTCGAAAAATAGACTATACAGAATATATCATATTTCACGCAAAATTGTAAAATTTCCTGGGATTTTGTGCCTAAACGGTTGACTTTACCGAAAATTTTCATAAAATATTTTTTATAGGAAATTTTATTCTCTTTAATTTTGCTCTCCTTAAATTTTCGCGAAAAACGTATAGTTTTCGAGATATTCACAAAATACCAATTTTGGGCGCCATCTTGGCAAGATGGCGGCACCGGCGGCAAGTCTGCAAATGTGCATTTTATGGATTTTAGTTAGGGACCCCAAAACGTATAAACCTGCAAAGTTGCAAAACTTCCAGACTTTTTTCCAAGCAAAAATCCCCAATGACTGAACTATTACTTCTGATGTTAGTTTGAAGTTTCTATAATGTTTATAGCAATTATTGAAGTTTAAATATGTTATTTTATTATTTAGTATAATATTGCTGAATGTATTAGTTATATTTTTGTGTTATGTTTTTATAGGCATTGCATTGCATTTAATTGAAAATGTTAATTTTTTTTTCAAATTTAGTTAAGTTGTAATAAGTAAAATTCCAATTCAGAAAAAAATTAACCACCCTTTACAAACCATATGAATTCTTGTAAACAAATAGAAAACAAATTCTTGCAGTATAGGTATACAATAAAATTATATAAGAATTCTTGCCAATTAACTGCTGATATAGACATTTAATTCTACGCTGTGTTTGTCATAATGTGGATCAACCTGCTCTCACTACCGGTTTCGGAGCCCTACTCCATCATCAGCTTGAGTGAGCTTGGGCAGATCCACAAAATGCATGACAACTACAGCGCAGAGTACTTAATTCCGACTTGTCGGAAAGTATCGGTTAGATAAGTCCCGAACGGGAGATAGCGGATGAGCCATGACCAAGCTCATATGATGATGGAGTAGGGCTCCGAAACCGGTAGTGAGAGCAGGTTGATCCACATTATGACAAACAGCGTAGAATTAAATTTCTATATCAGCAGTTAAGTGGCAAGAATTCTTATATAATTTTATTGTATACCTATACTGCAAGAATTTGTTTTCTGTTTGTTTACAAGAATTCATATGGTTTGTATAAAAAATTATATTCTCTGAATATCCACTTAAATCTCTGATAACTGCTTTTTAATATTGATGCAATCAGGCGATTGCTCTAAGAAAAAAAAAACATTAATATTACACAAGATACAGGTATTTCAATCGAAGCGTGTGTATAAATATGTAAGCACATACATTCATGCATCATTACCTCTTTCGCAACCAGCATTGTTTATTCTGATTAATTTAATAAACCCCATCATCAATAACATTTAGTGCCTACGATCATCCTTTGTAATGGAATTTTTGCATTTTGTTTGTTGTTTGAAAATTAATTGCTTAATTAGACAATCACAAATTGCCACATTCTTCGTGCCACGGCATGTTGTTTAATATTTTTTCTGTTTAGTAATAATAAAGAAATCTGTAATTTAAATCGATTTTTTTCAATTTATTGAAGGATCGTCTTTATTAACCTCATTTTATATTTAATTAATAATTAAATATACTGGCCGCTGAATTAACCGTAGATATATTTGAGACTAAAAAAAATAAAAGTTATTTTTTTTTGTAAAATGCCACGGCGGCGTTTAAAAATTAAAAGAATATAGAAAAAACGAAGTACTTCTGCATAGGAAGAGAAAATTGTAACCTACAATATAGAAGCCTGTGAGGAATATAAATATTTAGGGGTTACATTTGACAAAACGGGTTCAGACGACAAGAAAATAAGAACGAGAGGGATACAGGCACGAAAGGTAATCAATTGTTGGAATCAAAGTTGGAATGGAATCCTCTGGAGTAAAAGCATTACGAAACAGGAAATACAATATACAGGGTGGTCCGAACTGTATTCCGGAAACTTCGGTAGCATATTCTGCAGATAAAGATAAATAAAAAAGTTCGTATAAATGTATGTCCGAAAATGCTTAGTGTCGGAGATACAGGGTGTAGAAGTTTCATTTTTATTTCGATTTTTTACAAATAATTTTTGAAGTAACGTCATTATTTGGATGAAAATTGGTGTCTAGGAGTTTTTTTGCGTGAAAAACTTGATTTTGATGTCGATATGACTCCTATTTGTAGGAGGCGCCACCTACATGTGTTTTCACTGTTTTGATAAGTAATAACTTTTCGTCCGTACCTGTATAAAACTACTGAGTAGTTTTCTTAATCACAATAGATGCATCTAAAACCTGGTCCAAACCGCATCCCAAAATATTTTTTAGTTCAAGAGATGCCTATTCAACTTTAAATTTACCCGAAAACTTTGCTTGTCCCGATAATTACATATGTCCGGCAGTTTATTTGACGAAATTGTCCACAAGTACTAGTTAAACGCTTTTCTTCACTTACGCACATACGTCAGAAAGAAATCTAACAAGTAACCTGTTTGTTTCACTTATTTTTAATGGCCAAGCCGTAATGGCCAAGCCGTATTTAGGGCAATCCCCCGGGTTTCGACCGTCGACGCATCGGCCCGCAACGAAACGGTTTGACCCTGATCGAGATCGATTCGATTACCCAGTAGTAATGGGTCAATCCCGCGAATCCCGCATGGTAAATCCCGCAACTTTGATCCCGCGGAATCTCAGAGGGATCCCGCATTTGCGGGATTGCATTCCCTACTTGAGACACCCTGTATAAATAAAAATAAAATGAATGATGAAACATAACTTATCACCGTAGATGTGTAATTAGAACATATACACTACTGAAAACAATTATCGCATATTTGAATAAACGTAATAATTATTACTTATTTCTAAATGAAGCATGCACTTTTCTGCCTTTGTCTTGTGAGTTTTTTTAGGATAGTTAGGGTACGCACTGAAATGTAATTTTTAGTCGGCCGACTATGTAGTTGTCAAAACAACAAAAGTGAAAATAATACATTTTTATGGAGCTGATCGGCCCAATATTTGATTGCATTGCGTAGTCTTAAGCTATACGCTTACAGGCAAATTTTAATCGGCCGACTATTTAGTTGCGTATTTGTAATCAATGATATCAATATGGAGCCGCGCTCACATGCAATCAAATAGTCGGCCGATCGGCTCCATAAGAATGTATTGTTTTCACTTCTGCAATTAGATAGTCGGCCGACTAAAAATTACAGGTCAGCGCATAGGCTTATTGTTTCGAATTTCCTTACAGTATCCAAACTATTTAAAACTGTAAGTCAGGGAATTCAAAGTGTGTTGTTTTTCAAATTAATATATTTTTTTAGCAAATATGTGATAATTGTTTTGAGTAGTTTATTATGGCATCAGATTATTTGTTTTTTTGGTATAATAAAATTGTTAATACTTTGTTTTTTCTAATTGCAGAATATTATAATCGGCATCGCTGGAAGCGTGCTGGCATGCATAGTGAGCCCGTCGATCAAAAGGCAAGAAATCCTGCTCTATCTAGCCATCTCCATCTTAGCAGTGAACGCAGTGGTCGTCATACTCACGGAGTGGAAGCTCTACTTCACCGATATGCCAAAGTTACTTAAAAAATATACAAATCATGTGCTCATAGATTACGGTAAGTTCAACTAATTTTCACTAAGTTTTTAAGACATTATAAAGCATCTAAATACTACAAATAAATCTATTTTAACTCCATTGAGTGCAAGAAATTTAGTGATAGTAAAATAAATTACACATGTTCCGGCAATAGTGCCGGAACTACATATAGGGCATCTGTAGCTCCTATAATAAAAAAAACTTGAAGTTTGTTAAAGTACAGACCTAAAGTATGTATTAGGATGTATTTCAGGAGAATAGTTTAACTTCTACAGAGTGGCCCAAAAAAGTATGAGTGGATCGCGATGATTTTTTTAAATATTTTTATATAGCAATAAAAAAAGTTTATTTCGAAGAACCTTGTTCTTTGATTTTGGAGTTTGGATCATCTTACCGAAATATTCTTACTATATTCTATTTGAAGCCTGTCGCTTATAATAACATAATAATACGCCTATTAGCCTAATATAACATACTATCGAAAAAAAACGTCGTCAGAGTTATTTTTTTTTATATATAAAATGGCAACCATACCAATGACATTCACCAGAATGTCATCGATCGTCATATCCAAGCCGACTTAACGCCGTTTTTTTAGATTGATAAAAACACTAAATCCCCACAATACACCAAAACACTTTTACTTTTACACTGTTCGCGCGTTTCGCTAACCATGTTAGCATCATCAGCAGATGATTATAAACTAAAGTATAATCTACAAGTTGAGCGTTTATATACTCGCTCAGTGGGCACCGAGTGGGCATGGCAAAATCTAGCCAACCGAGTCAGAGCCCACTGAGCTTAACAGTTAGATTTCCGCCACTAGAGTAGTAGGAACAAAGAACTTGAAGGAATTGGACAGTTGTCTGTTCATACAATCTTTACATTTATTAATTCTGATGCTTTCATATGCATCTAATTGCCTGTAATTTGAGACTTGTTTAATTAATTTTAAATTATTAAGATCTATACTAAGTTCTTTATCAACAATATGTTCGGCAACGCAAGATTTATCCGGTCTACCATATCTTATCTGAGCTAAATGTTCTTTAAATCTAGTTAATACTGATCTTCTAGTTTGCCCAACATATTGATACTGATTACAATCTTTACAAGAAATTTCATAAATACCTGACCTTTCCAGTGGAGGTGTTTTATCCTTTGGATTACCTAATAATTGTTGTAATTTATTATTAGCACTATACACAAGTTTATAATTGACATTCTTAAAAATTCTTTTTAGACCACGGAATAACTCTCTATCAAACGGTATCGAAAAATATTTAGACGTATCTTTCTCCACTTGAAAAGTCGAATTTTCTGAAATCATTAACCTATACCTACGTTTTCTAATTAATTTATCAACTAGTGAAGAAGAATATCCATTACACTCAGCTACATTCCTAATGTAATCTCTTTCTATTTCATATCTTTCGTTGGAAAGTGGGAAACTAAGTAATCTATGAACTAAGTGGGAAACTAAGATTACTTAGTTTCCCACTTTCCACAGCCACGCCCACTCGGTGCCCACTAGGCGAGTATATAAACGTTCAACTTGTAGATTGTAATTTAGTTTATAATCATCTGCTGATGATGCTAACATGGTTAGCAAAACGCGCGTCCAGTGTAAAAGTAAAAGTGTTTTGGTGTATTGTGGTGATTTAGTGTTTTATTTTGCTAAATAAATAGAACTAACATTATTTAATATGCATAAATATGATATAAAATGAAATTATATTTCCTTTACTTTATTAGAAATTAAATAAATTATGAAACGTAGTGTCATTTATCAATATAATTAATTTAAATATTTCTTTCATTGATGAGATTTTAAGTTTAATATATAACTACATAAGAATATAAGAAACTTGTCCTGAAAGTTTATATTTTACTCACGTGGTCGTGATATACAGTGATCTATGTCATAATATATCCTGCAGCCTTGCTTTATTGGCCTTGTCAGGAATGTCGTAATAAAGAGATGTAGTATTCAAAGGTATGCGCATTGTTTTCTAGCGTTATGAAAACGTCTTATTTACGTATGCGTACCGTAGGACACGATGACATGAAATTATCATAACCATATCATTACATGGTGTACTACTGAGTTTTACTTCTCTGCTTGTGTTCTATTTAAATATACTTCTTATTTGTCATTTACCTTGCTGTCAATATCTTGCTGTGTAGTACATTATTATTAAACCTTTCTATATCATCAATCAGTTCAAAATAACATCAGTGTTGAAGAAGAGTGTCACATCTCCCAATACCACCAAGTTAAACTAAGAAGTAACTTTTGGTTGTGTCATGTTGTTAACATAAAACAAAATTTGAATGATTTTTAGTTGGTACTAACTAAAAATCTCAAAAATGCAAATTTTTGAGATGTGGCGCTCTTCTTCCGCATTGACGATAAAGAGTTTGTTCAAAGGTAAAAGGTTTATGATTTTCTTTTTACTAAAATTCTTTGAAACTTTCCAAAAATGGTTTTAGTAAACCCACTACATTACTAATTAATGCACAAGGCCGTAAGTGCATAAATAAATAATTTCAATTACTGTATTTTAATGTCTAATACACCAACGAACTTCAGATGTGATGCAAGAAAATTAATTGTAAACAAAAATCAACTCTCATTCTCCCAAACCATAAAATGATTTTTAATTTTTTATCCAGTGTTGATAATAATAGATACTTATATACAGGATGTTTAAAATTGTGGCAAAATTTATGTAAAATTAAAGAAATTTCTATAAAAAGACTACCAATGAGAGGAACTTAAAGACGAAACATTCTCAGAAAAAACGATAGTATAGTCTATAAAATGAATAACTTTGAATTTTGACCGTTATTTTTTACCAACATGGCAAATATAAAATCCCTCTATCAAAAAAGTTACTGATATTTTTTAAATTGAATGCCTGAACGAATCAGATAGGTAACTCTTTTTACTTTCGTGAAATAGAAAAGGAAAATAATAAAACAAGTGACTTCTTGCAAAAATCAACACAATTGTCAAAAGTAAAATGTCATCAGCTTTTGATATTTCTAAATATCAGACCAATGCCGTCTCTAATAGAACAGCCTCGGAGCGAGATTTATGACGTCACGCTGGTTAGATACTACGGATTAATAAAATATGTTGTAGAATACATGTAAAACATAATAATTCCTCGTATTTTTGGTTTGTATTTTAAAAATGATATAGTTTACATGAAATATACATAATATACAGTTAATAAATACTTTGCCAAATAAACTATGAACCATAGGTACAAATGCAGCAAATGTTTTACAATATACAAATAATGAATAGGTACATAAGATAATGGCGAGGGGTGTCTCACTATTGGAATTACCTGTACATTTTCTTGGCAGTCGCTGGCAGTCATTGGCAGTCTTATGGCAGTCGCCTATAATAATTACATGGCAGTCATAAGCAGTCTTCTTCATAGTCATTGGCAGTCGCTTAGCAGTGGAAGGATATTTTGGCAGTATGTGTACATTTTTTACCCGAGTGAGACACCCCTCGGATAATGGGTAATGTAACTATTTCTGCATTTTGCAACTAAAATGGTACTAGGCATCACGTTGTAGCTTTTATTTAATTTAGTTATCACAAAATCTCCAAAATAGTTAAATATGCTTGATTTCATACGAAAATAGCGAACCAGTGTGGTGGCAATTCTTACAATTGTGTCAGAGAATATTGAGATTGTACTCGTTGAAATTTAAATGAAAATCATTATTACAAATTGTAGCACTACAATTTTTTTGATACAATTTGCTGTTACTTGGCACTATTGTAAACTGAGTTGGGGAAGTATACCAACTTAGCTAATACAACCATGTTGTGTGATATATTTACAAAAATCTAAGTACAATCTGTGGTATAATGTTGTAGTTTTTTCTTTTTATATGTTTTTGCAATGTAGGAAATGAAACGGAAAAAAGTGACGGTAATATTCTGAGGTTATTCCCAAAACTTTTTTTTTGGATTAACAATATTTACATTTGCATTGCATTACGGGTAGTTTCTTTTTAGATTTTAAACACTAACAATAAATCAGTATGGGGAACACTTGACCAAAACGTAAGGCGAAAAAAAATCCACCCGGGCCCCTTCTCACATATTCTCAATACTTTTGCCTAATTCGAGCAAGTTTTTAATTACAAAATTCAGTTCGGAGACATTAACCTTAGGCACTAGGTATAACGTAGTAGTGTTATGTAGACAGCCCAACAAATTACATTTGACAGTGATAAAATCATAGGTCGACAACTTAAGGTATGTTGACATTTACTTGGTTTTGCACTGCATAGATAAAGGAAACAAGTTTAGATTGGAATGCTCGGCGTTCCACCGAAACTTAAATAATTGTTTTGGGGTGCATACGTTGTACGGGATCTGGCGCTGCTATATCGGTTGCTAAGAACAACCGTAAACAAGAACAGAAATAAATTTCTCTTGTCAAAGTCAGAATCTTCAAAAATTATAGAATCTTTCAAAATTTAAACTGCCCTCATTAAACCGAAAGTGTTTAAAGCGTCCGTTTTCAAAATAATTATTGCTATCCTGTAAGTTTAATTTAAATTTTATTGGCACAAACCCGAGATATTGTGAAAAAGTGGCATTAAAAACTTGTGAAGCTGTGTGAACTGCAAAACCATCGTAAATCGTGGCATAACGTCGGTTTCCAATGTTTCATAGGTATTTCATATAGCGTTGCACAAGACAAGAATTCTTGTCTTGAAAATCAATTTCTTGTCTTGTCTTGAAATTCAAGCAATTTTCAAAGTCTTGTCTTGCAGATTTCTTGAATGGCAAAGTCTTGTCTTGTCTTGCAAGACTCTTGAAATTTCTTGTCTTGAAAAATTTTACATTCTAACAAAAAGGTAATAAATCGTATACAAAATGTAATACCGAAAAATGAACAACAACGATGCTAATTTTAGTAAAAAAAATCTTAACGGACCGCAAACGAACTACGTCAACTCGCCCGTTTGACGAAACAGGAG